CGGTAAAGTGACAAAGACAGAAATATCGTTGCGTACAGCGTTGCCACTAGTTGTAATAAATATCTAACACTATACAGAAAATAATGAATTTTAACTGATCAGTAATCAGGAAATGTATAAGTATTACTCATTACAAGCTCATTACTGATTTTTGTCATAAATAATACCTTTTAATCGTACTAGTATTGTGTATTATCTATAATTTGCCACAACCTACAACTCTACTGCTTACTATATTTTGATTCTGCTATAAACTGGTAACGTAAAATTTAGATATGACAACGCGCTTTACTCTCAATCATTATTGGTTTTACTATAAAAAATAATTCGGAAGGTGCTAGGTAGTAGTCATCACACCACTCTCTTCAGCAATCTACGGTATTGATTGTGAATTGTGAATAAAGTATTGAGAATTAAGAATATGAAATGAAAAATTAAGAAATAAAAATGAAAAATTGAGAACGAGGAATGAAAAATTAAGAAATAGGAATTGAGAATTAGGGATTGGAAATTAAGGATCAGTTATTGAGAATTATCAATTGAGAATCAGGTGTTAAGAATTAAGAACTGAGATTTGAGAATGTATAATCAAGAATAAAAAATTAATTGGCAATCAGAAAATCGGAATTGAGATTTAGGAACTGAGAATTCTAAATTGTGGGTTGATTATTCAGAAAAATCACTCCAGTTATTTTTCCTCCTAGTACTAATGTAATTCAAGGAATTCTGAATATTACCATGTTCTTACCTGTAAGAAGGCCCTTCCTTGATCTCTAACGAGCCGGAAAGGCACGTCAGAATCAGCTGCATTTCGTAGATCGACCCATCCATCTTCAGTCATATATTTCGCACCAGAAACAGCACATATTGGTGTATGGATTCCTAAAAAAACAATAGTAAAATAAAATAGAAAAGAATATCTCTCAGTCTTTCGAAGAGCTTTTTTGAAGTTTTCATGAGTTATTGATATTATTCAAACTTTTTCTCATGTAAACAACTAAAGTTCATAACTAGTCGAAGTTGAACTTGGAGTTCCACAAGGTCCGACTCTTGAGCCAATCATTGGCAGTGACAACCTCCACATGAGTATTTCATAAAAACGTCACTTGAAAGGTTCAAATACTCGAAAAATTTTAATTTTTTTTGTTTTTGTTTTGAGAGTAATGAGATTACAACTAATTCATGGTAGAATATAGCATTTTTTTTAATAATTAGGTGAATATTTTTGCTACGGTAGATTTAATCTTCTCCTCTTCTGTAAGTGAATCCTTGAACCATCATATACGAGGAGATATAATTATTGGAACTCTGTTTATTCCAATTCCTCATTCTCGTGGCAATCATGAAATACTTTATTATAACGCCTTTCCGATAAAATCGTTAAGTGGAAAAGCTCCCATAAATAATTAAATATATGGAAGAAAACGCAGATCTTCGAGTATTACTGTTAATCAAACTCCGATTCGAATTTAAATATAGCCGGAAATCTAATTATATTTTTAGTTAGTTCTTTCCT